GTGCGTTTGCTCGAGAATTATTTTTTCCCCTGTCTTCTTCCCCCCCCCCCTTTTCTTCTGGCGCCGGCTGTGCCGCATCCTTGGAAACCGACCTCCTTTAAAGGAGTGCTGTGAAGTTTATGCCAGGATAATTCTTCGTGTCGGCACAATACATTGACTCCACACTCAGTCTTAGAGCTGGAGGTGGGACAGGAGTGGAGCCTTGCTTTTTTTTGGTTTTGCTTTTTAAAAGCTCTCCTTACCTTAACTCTACGCCCTGTTTCCGTCTGCCTTTTGACTGACTTAGCGGCATCATTTCCTGACAGGGCCACAAAAGCGTAATTTGCTCTCGACTTGGTTTTCCCGAGAGGAAGCAGCCTCTGAAAAATGCCAGCAGAAGACCAAAAAGCTTGTAGGCTTCTTGAACCAAGATGTTTAAATCCTGGGAATTAAGTAATTGCATGGTCGTGCCTTAAGTCCTTCTTCGCCAGGTATACGTATCGAATACATTTTTATCCTGTGCTTTCACCGAGGAGCTGCCATGACCTGAATAGCCCAGGCTAGCCCGATCTCGTCAGATCGTGGAAGCTAAGCAGGGTCGGCCTTGGCTAGTTTTTGGAAGGGCGACCTCCAAAGAATACCAGGGTCGTGAGGCAGAGGCAGGCAATGGCAAAACACCTCTGAAACGTCTCTTGCCTTGAAAACAAGTCTAAGTCAACCACCAATGGATGTACAGCGTATGCAAGTATGCAAACCACCTAAAAATACTGTACAAATAAAGTATTAGACATCAAATCGTGTCCTTAAAATGAATTTGTGTCATTGCCACTTTGGGGGCCAGGAAGCAATCCTGGAGGTTTTTTGTCATCTTCTGGGCACGGAACAGCGGTCACTGGGGGTGTGGAGGAGGAGGTATCTGTGAATTTCCTGCATTGTGTAGGGGGTTGGACTAGATGACCCTGGAGGTCCCTTCCAGCTCTACGATTCTATGATTCTATTCTTTTTCAGTCCTTTTTCACAGAAGTTATTAACAA